CCCTTGAGCAAGCATCCCTCCAAATTTGAACGTGAAACACCATCTAGGAGTCTGAAGAAAAAATAGGAAAATATGAAATTTTCATTATTTTTCCATATAAGCGCTGATTTTCCTAAGTTCGACGGCTTGTAAGGAATTTTCCTTTTGAGGGATGATAAAGCATCCCTTGAGCAAGCATCCCTCCAAGTTTGAACGTGAAACACCATCTAGGAGTCTAAAGAAAAAATAAGAAAATATGAAATTTTCATTATTTTTCCATATAAGCGCTGATTTTCCTAAGTTCGACGGCTTGTAAGGAATTTTCCTTTTGAGGGATGATAAAGCATCCCTTGAGCAGGCATCCCTCCAAATTTGAACGTGAAACACCATCTAGGAGTCTAAAGAAAAAATAAGAAAATATGAAATTTTCATTATTTTTACATATAAGCGCTGATTTTCCTAAGTTCGACGGCTTGTAAGGAATTTTCCTTTTGAGGGATGATAAAGCATCCCTTGAGCAAGCATCCCTCCAAATTTGAACGTGAAACACCATCTAGGAGTCTGAAGAAAAAATAGGAAAATATGAAATTTTCATTATTTTTCCATATAAGCGCTGATTTTCCTAAGTTCGACGGCTTGTAAGGAATTTTCCTTTTGAGGGATGATAAAGCATCCCTTGAGCAAGCATCCCTCCAAATTTGAACGTGAAACACCATCTAGGAGTCTGAAGAAAAAATAGGAAAATATGAAATTTTCATTATTTTTCCATATAAGCGCTGATTTTCCTAAGTTCGACGGCTTGTAAGGAATTTTCCTTTTGAGGGATGATAAAGCATCCCTTGAGCAAGCATCCCTCCAAATTTGAACGTGAAACACCATCTAGGAGTCTAAAGAAAAAATAAGAAAATATGAAATTTTCATTATTTTTACATACAGGGTGGCCAATTGAAAACGAAACAGAGGTGATTTTGGGCTCCCCAAGACATTTAAGAAAAAACCCCCGTACCCGTCGATTTCTGATTTAAGGGGGAACCATTTTTCTTCACCCCCTGGGGGGCAAAGCCCTAGCGGGGGTGACAAGGGCCCCCAAAATTTTAAATGGAATGAGGGGTCGAGTGATACCTTATTTTGAAGCTATTTTTATGTAGATTATAACCCCCGAGTCTTACATCGCTACTATCTACCTAGCCAGTACAGGGGCTAATTAAAGTTACAAAAACATGTTAGAATATTTTTATTTAAAAAAATGCTTTAAAAACAAAATCAATCAAGTAAATGCTGAAAATGAAATCCGAAGAAAAAATCTAACGGGCTTAAATCTAGAGAACGCGGGGGCCTCTCCGAATCCATTGTCCTGGAAACCTTTGGTCCAAATATTGACGAATCACTGCAGCATAGTGGGGTGGCGCACCATTTTGTTGGAATATTAGACGGTTTTCCATGTATCCGTTATCATTCTCTAGTATCTCCACCAATTCTGGATGAATCGCATCTTCTTATCACTCTAGGTACATTGCTCCTGTTAAATTTATAGGTAAAGAAGGGGTCTATTATACGGTTACCAAAAATGCTAGCCTAAACACTCAATTTCTCGGGATGTTGCGTGTATACCTCACGAAATATGTTTTCTCGGATTTGAATTAGCCCAATAGCGGCAGTTGAGACGATTCACCGTACCGTTCAAGAAAAAAGGAGCATTCATCAGAGAAATATACAAACTGCTGCTCCATTTCTTGAAAAAAAAAATAATTGGGTTATGAGTTTTTCAATGATGAGGGAGGAGGAAATAAAACGGAAAAGGGGGTTAGTAGCACATCAACTAAAATACCATTTAATTATACTCCATTATTTAATACAATTTTTTTATATTCAATACAATATTTATTTAATACAATATTTCCAGGTATACATACAATATTTCCAGGTATAATACGTACGAAATAACGTCCTAGGGCATTATGGAGATGTATAGATTATTTGAGTATTTGGGCTAGCATTTTTGATAACCGTATAATAGGCCCCTTTTTTACCTATAAATTTAACAGGAGAAATGTACCTAGAGTGGTTAGAAGTTGCGATTCATCCAGAATTGGTGGAGATACTAGAGAATGATAACAGATGCATACACTTATATTCCAACAAGATTGTGCGTCATCCCACTATGCTGCAGTGACTCGTCAATATTGAGTGGCCCCCGCGTTCTCCAGATTTAAGCCCGTTAGATTTTTTCTTCTGAGGTCATTTTCAGCATTTACTTGATTGATTTTGTTTTTAAAGCATTTTTTTAAATAAAAATATTCCAACATGTTTTTGTAACTTTAATTAGCCCCTGTAATGGCTAGGTAGATAGTAGCGATGTGAGACTCGGGGGTTATAATCTACATAAAAATAGCTTCAAAATAAGGTATCACTCGACCCCTCATTCCATTTAAAATTTTGGGGGCCCTTGTCACCCCCGCTAGGGCTTTGCCCCCCAGGGGGTGAAAACACCAAAAAAATGGTTCCCCCTTAAATCAAAAATCGACGGGTACGAGGATTTTTTCTTAAATTTCTTGGGGAGCCCGAAATCACCTCTGTTTCGTTTTCAATTGGCCACCCTGATAAGCGCTGATTTTCCTAAGTTCGACGGCTTGTAAGGAATTTTCCTTTTGAGGGATGATAAAGCATCCCTTGAGCAAGCATCCCTCCAAATTTGAACGTGAAACACCATCTAGGAGTCTGAAGAAAAAATAGGAAAATATGAAATTTTCATTATTTTTCCATATAAGCGCTGATTTTCCTAAGTTCGACGGCTTGTAAGGAATTTTCCTTTTGAGGGATGATAAAGCATCCCTTGAGCAAGCATCCCTCCAAATTTGAACGTGAAACACCATCTAGGAGTCTAAAGAAAAAATAGGAAAATATGAAATTTTCATTATTTTTCCATATAAGCGCTGATTTTCCTAAGTTCGACGGCTTGTAAGGAATTTTCCTTTTGAGGGATGATAAAGCATCCCTTGAGCAAGCATCCCTCCAAATTTGAACGTGAAACACCATCTAGGAGTCTAAAGAAAAAATAAGAAAATATGAAATTTTCATTATTTTTCCATATAAGCGCTGATTTTCCTAAGTTTGACGGCTTGTAAGGAATTTTCCTTTTGAGGGATGATAAAGCATCCCTTGAGCAAGCATCCCTCCAAATTTGAACGTGAAACACCATCTAGGAGTCTAAAGAAAAAATAAGAAAATATGAAATTTTCATTATTTTTACATATAAGCGCTGATTTTCCTAAGTTCGACGGCTTGTAAGGAATTTTCCTTTTGAGGGATGATAAAGCATCCCTTGAGCAAGCATCCCTCCAAATTTGAACGTGAAACACCATCTAGGAGTCTGAAGAAAAAATAGGAAAATATGAAATTTTCATTATTTTTCCATATAAGCGCTGATTTTCCTAAGTTCGACGGCTTGTAAGGAATTTTCCTTTTGAGGGATGATAAAGCATCCCTCGAGCAAGCATCCCTCCAAATTTGAACGTGAAACACCATCTGTGCAGCTGCATGTTTGGGGTTTTGCATTATAAGATTAAGATCGGCATGTCTTGTGTTAATACCATGATTAATATTCATTTTAAAACAATTGTTTTTTAGCATATACCTTATGACTGATTTTATAAATAGTTGGTTTGGCGCTAATAATCCGCTCTCACTATACACTAAGTGTGTGGGATGTCTTATTTTTTTAAACAGCATAACTTTAATGACCCATTTTTGTGCTATATTCAGTTGCATCATTATTGTGGATCCTGTATTACCCCAGACCACTAGTCCATAATTTATTATTGATTCTATCAAAGCATAGTATACAGATTTAAGGGTTTTTAAAGGCAATATATATGAATTTGTTTATATGAAGGTATTATCTATTCACAATCCGATGTCCAAAGGTACAGGTAAAATTTATCACCTTTCAATGCTATTTATTTACGACTAATGTATAATGTGCGTATTATATTTGTGATTTTGGCAGTATAATGACATATATTATTCCTCCAGGGATTAATGACGAGTAGCGGGATTAATGGTCATTATTCCACAAAAGTGTCAGTGTCAAACGTGTAGTGCTTCTGGATTTGTATTGAAAATTATGAGACGGATGAAATTTGTTCATTGAAAATCTCAAATAAATTAATTTGTAATAAAAGATTTTTTAAGTAAATTTTAATACTTATATATTTCCACAAGATAATGGATTTCCACCAAGTAAAAGCCGATTCAATCAAAAAATTAATTTGTCGTAAATAAAGTAGAGTATACTACTCGCAATAATGGCTATTATTCCCTCGGAATGTTACTCCCTCGCCGCTAACGCGGCTCAGTTCGTAATAATCCTCGGGAATAATAGCTATCATGATTGACTCGTGGTATAATCTACTATTAATAGAGGAAGGTGGTAAATACACCTATACCTTTGGACTTCAGATTGTGAATAGGATATAGGTATATACAATTTTGTGATTTGGAAGTATTTTCAAAAAATCCAACCCATGCTTACTTACATTTTATTAATGGCCATTTTTTCCTAAATTCTAAATTCCACCGCAACTCAACCCTGACACTTCCCTAGAAAGTGAAAACAACAAAGGATTTACGAGTCTCCTCCTCCTCATTCATAATTTACAACTTTGTATACTGAAATACATATTTACAAAAAACAACAGTGATAAACCCAGACACACTAAAGTATCATTTTACATGGCCTTTCGAGGTTACAAGTTACAACTGGCGTTTTTCGATTTAACACCTTTTTTACTGCCAATTATAAGTTTCAGGTTGTTTATTTTTAACTTATGACATCATTAATGATGAGTGGAATTTGTTTATTCAATAATTGCGAATTTAACTTAAGTACTCCTTGTGGAATCGTTGAGAAAACATTCGTGGAATTTGAGATGATTTAAAAGGCTCTGATGCAGCAGCTGCAGTTTACAGTAGTAAAAACTCGTTCTGGCCTGGCCTTAAACTAAACCTAATCTAGGACTCACCTAAGTCTTCGACCAAACGTAACATAACTCCACCGATATGTACATCTCCTTTAACTCGAATTTGCCTTTCGGTTTGTAAATCGGTCACAAATACCCTCAAATCCCAGGATCCATCTCCTACTACATGCCCGTTGGCAATCATTTTTGTTGTTCAACAGTTTTTTTTCAACACTTAAAACTCAAGAAAAACACTCTTCACTTTTTCGAACACATTTTTTTCCTCAGAGGAAAAGCGCGAAAAATACGTAATTACTCGAAAATAAACCCCAGAGCCGCGACGACCTTCCTGCTGCAAAAGCAATGGCACAATATAAATAAAAAAGAACAAATAAAAAGAAGTGGCTTGCGGCCGTGTGCCAGATTTTCGTCATGTGGCAAGGCATGGGGGATTTGGAAGAGGATCGTGTGGTGAGACTTGGCAACATTGGAATTAAGGCTAGATACAGACGTAACCGCAATGTTCAATATTGGTAAAGGGCGTTTCACATGCTGCAACTAGTTCTGTTCGCGGATCACATTCCGAGATTTTGAATCAGTTTGGAACAATAATTGGACTAGCTATCAGAACAGGGTACGAGAACTCGGAACTCTCTACCACCCATGGGAATATTAGGCAATTCAATCTATCTGTCAAAAAGGAAAATTCAATGTGGCGTGGCGGCCAAGCAAAGTTTGTTTTGAATATGTTTTTATGCGTGTTTTAAATTATTTTGCATTCAGTTTTGCTCACAACTTTGATTTTCATTATTTAATAAAATATTTGTTGACTAGGTACCCAAACTATTAATTCGGGCAGAAACTAGATATTTTTTTGTGTTTTTTGGCCCATGTGTGGCCGCCTCGCCATCTTGAATGTCACGTGGTTTGAATTGCCTAATAGCCGCATAATACCTGAATATCCTATTTATGTTTCCAAAAGGCGGTAAAATTTAAGTTTTTAATAATTCATTAGCTAACCACCCTAACCTAATAGAATTCGAAAAAGATTAGAAGGTATTTTTTGCTTTGACCATGGTTGCCTCCTGTGGCTCTTGGGTAAAAAAAATGGCATCGGAACAAGCAAAAATGGGATAAAGAGGTTTTCAGCATGGCACTCCGGATACATCAAGGCCTTTTCAGAAACGTAGATCCGAATTGTCGGATCACCCACTGATGTACCTTGTCTTTTTTCAATCGGGATCACTCAAAGAAAGAGAGAAAACAAAAAGCTGTTGATCGGGGTAATCGGATCAGCGTTTCCGAAATGCCCTATTCATCACGCTCACGCATGTCAGGGTTGCGGTTACGCGTGAAGCCAGCTTTAGTGAGTCTGATGTTTTGATCACCCCACCCCATAAATTTGACAGTTTAAGTTTATAGGTTAAGTTTCACATGTTTTTTTTTTAAACAATAATAATAATATATTAATTTGAACAGTTTTTTATTCAAAATCATGGAAACTTTATTGAAATTGAGGCCCATACAAGAAATTCGGAAAAATCTCACTCCTTCTGACGGCACGCTCACTACAGAAGAACAAGTATGTATTGCTACTACTGCAAGGGCAAAGGGACCCTTCTAAATAGAATTTAGAGCCTTTCTAGCCTCACACAGGAGCTCAAATAGGTTTGAATAAATTTATAAACAAATTAGGTAATTATTTTTCAGGTAAATTTAGGCACACATCGATTTCTATTTTTGGTCACACTGTAGTTTCCTTGGTACTTAGTTTCTGAATTAATTTTTATATATAGGGTGGTCCAACAAAAAGAAATCAACTTCAAAATGGACACCCCCATTTTATTCCATTTTTGGTTACCACTATGTACAGGGTGTCCGAATTTGGATGGTTTTAATAGGAAACGTCAATTTCTGAGCAAGATACAACACTCGATACAACAAAATAAACCCCCCACTCCGAGGCTCACATTTCTTGAAATTTTGATTGGGGCAAACCGCATTTTAATATCTTCAACCGTTTAGCCGCTAGAGGGCGATTCTTGATTTTGAGCAATACTGTGAAATCTTCATAACTTTTTTGTTTATAAAAATAACTGATTTCCGTAAAAACATCCTAAAGGCCCTTTTTCAAGCAGAATTCAGTGACGTTTTCAGTTTTTTCTATTGGGCCTCGGTTTCAAAATATTGACCAAAATCCAATTTTTTTCAATGGGACACCCTATATATTAAATTAATAGCTCTTTAGGGAGCTCTGCTTTTGCTGATTTCAATGATACTAATTTCGATGGGTTTATCTCTTCTAGAAAAAAAATTATTTCGGTTTTTGTCATAAGAAACAATGAGTTAGAAAGAGACCTTTCTCATTTTCCTTACAAATATAAAGACCTGTTTTAACACGTTTCTTATGGAAAAAAACGAAAAAATCTTTTTTTTCGAAAACTGTTAGAGATAAACCTATCGAAATTTATATCATTGAAATCAGGAAAAGCAAAGCTTTTAAGAGAGCTATTAATATATAGGGTGTCCCATTGAAAAAAATCGGATTTTGGTCAATATCTTGAAATGGAGGCCCAATAGAAAAAAACTGAAAACGTCACTGAATTCTGCTTGAAAAAGTGCCTTTAGGAAGTTTTTACGGAAATCAGTTATTTTTATAAACAAAAAAGTTATGAAGATTTCACAGTATTGCTCAAAATCGAGAATCGCCCTCTAGCGGCTAAACAGTTGAAGATATCAAAATGCAGTTTGCACCAATCAAAATTTCAAGAAATTTGAGCCTCGGAGTGGGGGGTTACTTTTTTTGTATCTCGCTCAGAAATTGATGTTTCCTATCGAAACCATCTAAATTCGGACACCCTGTACTTTCCTAAGCTGGATTTATAGTGTCAGTATCAGTAACAGTAAAATATTAAAACACGGCCGACCGTGAAGCCATTAATAGTTCACTTAACAAACTTATCAGTAAAACTTAAGAAATGGTTATGTTCATATTTGTTCTCAAGTTTTAAGTTTTAAGTTACTGTAACTGTTACTGATACTGACACTATAAATCCAGCCTAAGTGAAAGTCTGATTGAACATATTCCATCATGTATATAATAATAATAATAATAATAATTTTTGATGATATTTTTTTGTGATACTTTTTATTATTTTTTTTTTAAATTTGTTTTGTGATTTTTTATAATGATTTTTTGTAATAATTGATTATATGCTTGAGTCATTGTTTGTAGTATGTATTCGTATGCTACTATAGGTTTACTAAACTGTACTTTTTTTAAGGATGTGGAAATCTGTTATTTGTGCAGTATAAATAAAGTTCTTTTATTATTATTATTATTATACAGAGTGATTCCCTCGGTGATTCCCAAACGTCGTAAAGGTTCTCCACTACCAAGGTTCCTAAAGTTTATAGGTTGTCTGGTAATGGTTAACTCGGGGGTTAACTTGACATCATCTGGGGTGCCTTATGGAGATTTTCATTATGTTGAGGCACCCCAGATGATGTCATAATAGTTATCAGGCAACCTTCCTCTCTCAAACAACCTTGCTCCACTACTTCGTGGAGGATTCTTCAAGGAACCCCCAGAAAAATAGTTAATATAAAGTTACTCTTAAAAAAGTAATTAAAAGAACATGGGATGGTAAAATTGGCAACATCTTAAATACTTCCACCTATATTGGATTATAATGTCTGCCCAGCGAGTCTGTGTCTACGGGGCAACGGTAAGGGGAATGCAGTTGTAAAAAAAAATGGCTGATTTCATTCATAAAATACCCAGCTGCGTGCGGAACTTTTTGGAAGTGTTATCGTATTGCAACTCGTACACGAAAATCATCAATGACCAAATCTCCGCCACTGGATATGTCAATATAAATCGATATTCCAAGATGGGTGGATAAAATGACGTAAGCCCTGGCCAATAGCGAGACGTAAGGTGACGTTGGCTCATTGACAACGGTATGGTTTCCCATGACAACGGCAATCCTGTCAAAACTCCACCAATCAGGTTCATCCAGGACGGATGCTTGCCAAATTGTCAAAAGCTGAGGGTATCTTTAGAAAATGTTTATTTTCTCCAATAGACCAAACTGAAGAAATCAGAAATAAAATAAGGATAGGTTTAACAGCCACATTAAAATATTTAGCGTTTTATTATTGTTATCAATATTTTGTTATCAAAAAATGGATTTTCAAATTAATTATACCTCATGCCTAGTATTTTCGCTTTTTTATAATTAAATGTGACAACATGGCACATTAACGTCCGAATTCCTTTCGTAGACTCAGATCCGCTGGGCAAACAATAGGTACCTCTGTTCTAATAATGAACCCCAGTCCTAATTTTATTACCTCAACAGGTACTACCTAACTAAACTGCTGGAACTACGATACGCATAAAGAAATTTTTTGCCTATTTTTGAAGTCAATTATCTCAGAAAGTATAAGAGATATTTGATTGCGGTTTGTAGCATATTGGGGCGCATTGTTTGGTGTTCAAGGTATATGGTATCGTGCTGATAAACAGAAACGTTATCTTCAACATACAGGGTGGACAATAAAACAGTGCAAAGTTTGACAAATTTCAGGGTGTCGCCATTTCTTTTCAAACATACTGCTGCTTTTTTTCTGGGTTTAAGAAGAATCAATAGTTCAATGGTAAAAAACAACTTGAAGGGTTTTTGAATAAATCACGTAGTTTTGCAGAAATTTCAGTTTACCTGAAAAATGACTTCCATCACCCTGATTCTTTGTCTCAGTTATTCGAAACAATGTTATTCATTATTGTTGGTTAAACGTTTTCGTCTTTTTTTGTTTCAAAATGAATTCATACAGGGTGGAAAAAAAGTAAGTTTTTAGTACTAATTATTGGATGGTCCGTGAAGATAATTGTGCCTCTGAATAACTAGAGATAGTACGCGTCCAAACACGTAACATGTACCTACTGCGATTTATATGGGGCACAGTCCTCTTTCTCAATTGATATCGTACCAACCTTTCTCTGCTTTATTAGGCTATTTTTCGCGGGGATAATCAAGTAGGTATAATCGATTATGCTATGCTGGATTATGTGATGTGTCAATTGTGTGTCCTGCTCCCCTAACTCCCCCACCATCAAATTCTGGGATACTCAAGGATCATGAACACTTAATTTCTTCTGTGGGAACAGACCGAAAATCACCTTTTCTACATTTAAAATCGACGAAAAAAACCAACTCACTAGCACAACCTGAATCGCAAGCATTCCATAGAGGTCTGCGGATGACGTCATTACTATAAGCTGCTGATAGTAACGTCACTCGCAGGCCCAGAATTGGATGGTGAGGGAGTAAGGGAAGTATGACACAATTGACGCATCAAATAACTCAGCATAATCAGATTATGTTTGATTATCCTCGCGAAAAATTGCCTATTGAATAACCATTTTAGGAGCAAAATATAATTGTATTATGTTTCCTAGGTGAAAAAGCTATTCTGTTCTCGAGACGCCAAGATATTTGGTGAATTATTACAACGTACCATGTCATCAGGGGGACTATTTATACAGGGGTGGTAAAAAGTACCGGAACAGTTAAATCTCTTTCAAACCTGCTTAAAAAAAAACCTGCATTCTCAACTTTCTTTATCTGGAGGTTTCAGGACATACAAAATTAAATGATTCAATGATATCGGCGCTGCTGTCAGATCTACCAGCTTTACCTTACATCATTGTCCAATTTCGTTTGCCCAGAAACCTCCAGATAAAGAAATCTGGGAAAGCGGCATAATTGGGTTTGAAGAGATTCAACCGTTCCGGTACTTTTTACCACCCCTATATAAGTAGCCCCCTTATGACGTGTTACGTGCTAATAAAGGCCGAAACCCACTAGCAACACGCCACGCCATGCTACGCTACCCCACGCCATGTGACATAAGTGACGGGACGTGTTATGTCGTGGTATCGCGTGTAGCAAGTGTGTACGCGGCACATGTAAATGAATGGAAGAATATACGCATACATTTTCGTCACATGGCGTCGCGTGGTATAGAATGGCGTGGCGTGTTGCTAGTGGGTTTCCGCCTTAATTCACCAAATATCTCGGCGTCGCGAGAACAGAATAGCTCTTCCACCTAGGAAATATAATAAAATCATATTTTGCTCTCAGAATGGTTATAAAATACAGCAGAGAAAGATTGGTGCCATATCAATTAACAAAGAAAACTGTGCCCCCTATAAATTGCAGTTCATGTTACATGTTACGACGCGTACTATCTTTAGTCACTCTGAGGCGCAATTATCTTTACGGACCTCCCAATAATTAGTATTTAAAATGTATTTATTTTTTTCACCCTGTATAAAATCTTCTTAAAAAAAACACGAAAACGTTGAACCAACAATAATGAAGAAAATTGTTTTGAGTAACTGAAACAAAGAATCAAGGTGATGAAAGTCGTTTTTCAGTTAAACTGAAATTTCTGCAAAACTACAAGATTTATTCAAAAACCCTTCCAAGTTGTTTTTCACCATTGAACTACCGATTCTTCTTAAACCCAGAAAAAAAGCAGGAGTATGTTTGAAAAGAAATGGCGACGCCCTGA